CCCCCCCCCCCCCCGCCTCCTCATCCTTGCCCTGCAGGGCTCACGTTGGGCCCCCTGCCCAGCTGTCATGATGTGGCTCTAGCTCCTCTGTGCCTGTGGGCTGGCTTGCCTTCTGCCCCGTTTCTGTGAGGACAAAGCTGGCGTCTTCCATCTCCGCGCAGTGCCTCAGACACACAGGAGCCACGTAAATGTCTGTTGACTGAGTGACTGGCAGGTTGGAGGTGACTTTTATTTATTTATTTATTTATTTGCGGTACGTGGGCCTCTCACTGTTAAGGCCTCTCGCGTTGTGGAGCACAGGCTCCGGATGCGCAGGCTCAGTGGCCATGGCTCACGGGCCCAGCCGCTCCGCGGCATGTGGGATCTTCCCAGACCGGGGCACGAACCCGTGTCCCCTGCATCGGCAGGCGGACTCCCAACCACTGCGCCACCAGGGAAGCCCTGGAGGCAACTTTTAAAAGGGAAGCAAGGTGGCTTCCCCGGGCCTGCCACAGTGCAGGAAAAGCAGAGCAGAGGGGGCCACTCTGGGCTGCGTGCGATGTTGCCTTGGGGGCTGAGAAGCGTATTTGCCTGCAGTCCCGGGCGGCAGATCACTCTGCCTGTTCGTCATATAGTCAAAGAAGAAAGTGCCATGAGATTAACTTGAAGGTCCAATTTCTTGGGTTTTTAAAGCATGAATTTCCTTGCCTACAGCTACTTGTCCACGTACCAAGTGATGCTGTTTTAAAGTACTGGATGATGACCTCAGGGCAGCTCTTAAGGGAGACTGGGAAGTAGTGAGTAAGCTGCTTGGTCTTGGAGTACTGGGCGATATTGTACTGTGAGACTCTGGAGAGGCCAGACCAGCTGCCAGGTGCTGCCTTACCTCAGCGTTCGTCCCTCGCTGCGCACTTTTTTCTGAGTGTGTGCATTTTCCTGGGGAAACGCTGTTACATCATAAAGTCACCTGTGTGGCCACACAGATTTTTAAATTTTTTTATTTATTCATTTGCTTTTTAATTAATTAACTTATTTTTTGGCCACGCTGCGTGGCTTGCGGGATCTTAGTTCCCCGACCAGGGATCGAACCCGCACCCTAGGCAGTGAAAGCGCGGAGTCCTAACCACTGGACCGTGAGGGAATTCCTCCACAGAGATTTTTTTTGACTGTGTGGGTAAGTGCACTTTTTCTGGGGAAAGGCTGTAGTTTCTGAAAAGCATCTGTGACCTGGACGAGGTTAAGAGCCAAGAATGGGAAAATCTAAATGTACAGCATTCGCTGCCTTCCTGGGTCTTCTTCACAGATGACCGGCTGCTGAGACCTGGTAATAGAATTCGTTTAAATAGCAGCAGAACATAGCACTCTTAGTGAATCAGAAGGTCCCAATATTTGGAAATTTCTTCCAGCTATACAGTTACATACACTTTTACCATCTCATTTTAAAAACCAGTCATGCTCTAGTCAGTCTTGGTTATAATGAGACATGACAGTTTTGCGTCCATTGGTTTGCCCCCGTGTCTCAGTGCTGACCTGGGGATTTTGTAATGAACCAAAAAAATAGGAAATCTCTGAATAAACACTGTATACATGAGTAGTGATATTACAACAGTATATTCAGTCACCTGGTTATGTCTTTGAACAAATTTACCGTTCAGAAACTTCCTTGATTATGCTCAGTTATATGACTGGGTCAGTGTGGATGGATGTTAGCGTGAAGCTGACTTGAGAAGGATTCTAATGTGGAGAGCCTAGTGATACTTAATCAACTACACTTAGCAGAGTCTGCTTTAAACTGGTTTTGAAAGCAGCGGGTAGTCGTGATTCCTTAAATCTAGTTGCTTCAGGTCAAGTAGATGATCCCAGAGGCAGTGACATAGAGCATCCGGTAGAGGGCGCTATGAGCATTTATTTTGAAGACTGTGGTCTGGCTCAGTTCCTTCCCTCTTTGCTCTTCAGTTCCTGTGGAGCAAGTTGGTGTGAAAACACATCCAGTTAGTTGCTGACTAGCCAGATGAATCTGTTGCTGGATCCACGAAAGGCACGTGATCAATCTTCTTAGGAAACTTACAGTTAGAGATATTTTCTTTTTCACTGTCTAATGTCACCCAGTGTTAGGCTATTTGTTAAGTAGGAGTGGAAATTTTAAAAATACATTTATTTATTCGTTTGTTTGTTTATTTATTTATTTTTGGCTGTGTTGGGTCTTCGTTGCTGTGCGCGGGCTTTCTCTAGTTGAGGCGAGCAGGGGCTACCCTTCATTGCGGTGCACGTGCTTCTCACTGCGGTGGCTTCTCTTGTTGCGCAGCACGGGGTCTAGGTGCACAGGCTTCAGTAGTTGTGGCGCGTGGGCTCAGTAGTTTTGGCACACAGGCCTAGTTGCTCCGCGGCACGTGGGATCTTCCCTGACCACGGCTCGAACCCGTGTCCCCTGCATTGGTAGGCGGATTCTTAACCACTGCGCCACCAGGGAAGCCCTCAGTCTTTTTTTTTAACTGAAGTACAGTTGATTTACAGTTTTGTGTTAGTTTCTGGTGGACAGCAAGTGATTCTCTTTTTTATATATATTTATTAAATATTTGGAGTTAAAAAAAAATCTTTTAAGCTCCTTGAATCATCAGATAACCATCATTATTATCCAGTGGAATAAGCTTCATTTAAAACAATTTAATATTAATAATTTTATTTTATTTTTTTAAAACTTGTTTTATTCAAGTATAGCTAATTTACAAGGTTGTATTCATTTCTGCTGTGCAGCAAAGTGATTCAGCTTTACATATGTGTGTATATATATATATATATATATATTCTTTTTTGTATTCTTTTCCGTTATGGTTTATTACAGTATACTGAATATAGTTCCCTGTGCTATACAGTAGGACCTTGTTGTTTACCTATTTTATATACAGTAGTTTGTTTATCTGCTAGTCCCAGACTCCTAATTTCTCCCTTCCCCACCTCCTTCCTTTCCCCTTTGAGAACCGTAAGTTTGTTCTCTATGTCCGTGAGTCTGTTTCTGTTTTGTAAAGAAGTTCACTTGTATCATGTTTTAGGTTAGGAGTGACAGTCTTGTAAGCAGTTCTTACTGTGGAGAAAGATAGATGGACAGGTTGTGGCTTCATCATAACTCAGACATTACCCATGTGTTATTTATGGACAGGCACACCGTGTTCTATAACGAATTTTCCTTGATTGAGGGCCTTCCAGTGGAGCTGTTCTCAGCACATTGTACTTGGTGCTTAATGTTAGGTGTTCACTGTCATTGCCACAGGACAGGAGTAACTTTAAACACTGAATGTTTAGAGTTCTCCTGTCAGGTGTCGGAAACCTTGGCGTTGATTAATGAAACCTTTTCAAGCATGTTTTAAAAGCCAACCTTCAATAATAACGTATTTCTAAATGCTGCTTACAAATGTAAATAAATCGATTTATTAAGTACTAATGACCAGCAGCATTATCATTTAATGATTTTGAGGAAATCATCATTGCAAACTCAGAGCATCCTGCCTACATTATAAATGGAAAGTCATAATCAGCAGTGCTGGGCTTTCCTGCCAGAGCCTCCATTTAAGAGTGAGTCCTTCTCCATCCGCTGTATCTCACTTATTTCTTGTGGTTTAGGAGCTTTATTAACTCTTCTGCTGCCAGAACAGTCAGGTCCTGGGAAGCATCTTTTCATCCATATTAGTATCCAAAGGCCACATCATCTTTGAATTGAAAGTTTCTTTTTGTCACCTCTTGCGTCTGATCACCAGTCAACTGGAAGTAACCACTTTTCCATATCTGCATAGAGAGCAAACTGTTTCCCAAGTAACTTGCCAGGTATAGGGACTTGAAACGAAATAACCTGACAGAATTTTTTCTTGCAAGTTAAAAATCTAGGTCCTAAAAGCGAATATAGCCATCTACAATAGTTAACAGTATTCTGCTCATGGTCTTTCTGCACAAAATATTCTGAAAAAAATGATTTTATATATATAAGTGTAAAGCTTCCATAGCAGCCGTACACATGGTTCTACCTGGCTGTATTTCCTTAATTCATTTTCAGTGGAAATAGCTGTTCCGTGCCTTGTATGTATGCTGTTGTTAAATTTCTGTGTGTTGATGTCTGTCTGGGAACGTATTTGACTGCTTATGTTCTAGTTAATATTCTTGTGAAAGTATAGCCTGGGTTTAGTAAGCTCTCAGGTGATCTCATGCCGGTGGCCCAGGAGAACTTTTCGAGAGCCAGGGTTCTGATGGAGCCCGGAGTGTGTCTTCACTGAAGCCCGCCCCCTTCACTTTCACCTACTGTGAAGCTGAGATCCAGGGGTCAGCACACTTGTCCTATAAAAGAGCAGATAGTCCAAAGAGTTCATTTCTGAAAGCGTGATTGACTGGCATGGTTGTATCAGATCCTTCTCAGTAAGTAAAACCTGGAGAGAGAATTCATCTTAGTCATCTTTTAAAGTTACGGTTCGGGCTTCCCAGGTGGCGCAGTGGTTGAGAGTCCGCCTGCCGATGGAGGGGACACGGGTTCGTGCCCTGGTACACACACATCAACCCCAGATTCTCAATAATAAGTATATTTGACTTGAGCTCTTTGTATCTCCAAAGATTGAATTTCAAAAAGTCTACATCTGATCATCCATCAACTTGACACCTCCCTTTACCTTTCTACTCCAGTTCCTGCTCTCTAATCAATAGAAGTGGCATGATTAGGGCTGCACTTTAAACAGATTGTTCTGGCATCAGTATGCTGGTTGTATTGAAGCAAGAAGAGACTAGAAAAAAGAGCCCAGTTCAGGAGCAGTTTAGGAGGAAAAAAAAGGGCCTGAACTTAGGGAATTTTAACAAAAGTATTTTTTTTAAAGAAAAAAGGGAACTAGGTATTAGAGAGTTAAAACTGAAGGAACCTGACAGCTAATTCTATGGGGAAGGTGAGTGGGAGGGAGGACACTTTGATCCATGATGACCAGGACAATATGAATGCTGTGAATTAGGTGTTATGTGGTGCCTTAAGATGCTATAAGGTATAAGAGGGCACATACAAAGGCACCCTGAAAAACCTAAACCCAGACAGAGAAGAGAATTAATTACAATATTTTCTTGAGTTTTGTGTTTCATTACCTTGATTAAATGCTATAAAATTTCAGCTCTGGACCAAAGCTTTTAGCCTTTTTTTCTTCACTTCCTCAAATTCTAATAACCTCCATATAGTAGTAATTGCTGCCTCCTCATGTTCCTGCCTCTGACAATATGAATCAAAATTTCAAACTTCTTAGCAATTTTCTAGTACTGCCTGTTATCCCAAGCAAAACAAAAGATAAATGTAAAAAAGTGGGAAGATAATAAATTTGATTTTGAGTATATCCAATTGAACTATTAAGGGTACAGTCCAAATATGAGTCTACGAGATTCAGTAGAAAAAAATAGAGATATATATATTTGGGGGTCATCTAAATAAGGAGGATTGCTTAGCTACAGAAATAAAAAAAGATACCAAGAGAGACGTATTTAGAAGGGAAGAGAACTGGCACAAGAATAGAATGCAAAGGAATGCCTAAATTTAGAGGGAAACAATACAGGAAAAGTTACCCAGAAAGAACACTGGAGAGAGAGGAGAATAACCAGGAGAACTGCTCTGGTCTCACAGAAGCAGGGAAGTGGAGATGGCCAACAACATATCATATTCAGAGGATCATAGGAGATAAGCAATATTTTGACTTGCCATGTCCCCATCTTCAGAAAAGAGCACTTCCTCCTTGGCTGCTTTCAATTAGAGAGAACTTTCAATTAGTGTGGAGAAGAAATTGTATTTCCAATACTAATTGTGGTTCCAACTGGGGTCGTTGGTTCTAGTTCCATGTCTACCCTCTCCTGAAACACAAGGGTTCTAGAATCCTAAGCTGGGTCAGACATGGTACTTCAGCTGATGACCACAATTACTGGGACTCAAATTTGGAACCAGAGTCCAATCATTTAGACCCCTTCCCATATGACTGGGAGGAAAAGATGAGGACGCATTAAGATTGACAAAGCTGTGAAAATCTGAGCTTGGAACTTAGAACTAATGGGTAAGTCTCCCATAATTTGGAGGATTTAGTCCATGGTGGGATATTCAGAGGGAGAGTAAAGAGATATGGGAGGACGCGGGCCTCTCACTGTTGTGGCCTCTCCCGTTGTGGAGCACAGGCTCCGGACGTGCAGGCTCAGCGGCCATGGCTCACGGGCCCAGCTGCTCCGCGGCATGTGGGATCTTCCCGGATCTGGGCACAAACCCGTGTCCCCTCCATCGGCAGGCGGACTCCCAACCACTGCGCCACCAGGGAAGCCCGGCAGGCGGATTCTTAACCACTGCGCCACCAGGGAAGTCCCTCTGACTTGGTTTATAGTCTGCCTTTCTCTGTCCCTTTTGGTCAATGGGGCTTCACCTTTTGGGCTTATAGACCTTTTCAGATGATGAAAACTAAAGAGGCTCATCCCAGAAGAATGTATATAGAGAGAAGTTCTGGTATGCAATAAACTCCACAAGGCCCATTGGATAGAGACCCCAGATAATAACTCTTGTTTAAATATAAGAACCCACTTACCCGAAACTAGCTTTGATTCTCTGCCAAGTTGGGTCTTCTCTGATCACAGGTCACCGACCTTTGCCTCATTTCTTAACCCCTTTCCAACCCCAGGAGCAGCCCTTGTGCGCCAGCGGGACATGCAGTATGTCCAAAGGATGAAGTCCAAATGGATGCTGAAGATGGGGATGAAGAACAACGCCACCAAGCAGATGCACTTCAGGCCCCAGGTGCTGTTCTGAGTCGGCCAGGGATTGAGTCATCATCCGACTCCTGCACAAGCGTCCGTCTTGCCTGGGGACCCGTGGAAGCTGGATCAGGTAGCAGGACCCTTATGCTGCTACTTCTTCCTGGATTTCTCTGTCCTGACCTAATAATAAAAGTCAGAATCATTTGGCTCCCCAGTGTAATTTTTGGACAGGGTTGAAAGGTCGTGTTTTTAGAAAGTGAGTGCTGTGTCAGCTGGACGCAGGCCCTGCCCTTCTGAGAGTTGCTTTGTTGTCTCGGCTTGAAACTGATTTAGGGCTGTCAGAATAACGTGGGGAATTCAAGAGCGGCTTGTCTGCTCCAAACCTGGTTTAATTTTCAGAAGAACACCTTACCATATCGTGGCGCTGGGACCTATGTAAGGGGGCTTTGAAGCTTCTGGAGGAGCAGAGTTGAATGTCCCTCCCTGGAATGTATTATGGCTCCCAAGGTGCTGACAGTTTGGGCACTTTCATTAAATCCAGGGAAAGTAAAAGGGCATGTCAGTGGCTTGCTGTCAAGGGTCTTCATTTCTAAATGTGATCCCAGAAAGAATGAGTGTGCTTCACCCTGAGACTCAGTGTCCAGTGCCGCCTCTAGAGTAGGGAGAAAATAAATGTAAAATGTGTAAATTTCATTTGAGAAACAAGCACGACCTCAGGATTCAACCTCTGAAGAGATGCTCCGCTTAGGTGGTTTAGGGGGAAGGCCATGATACGTTGGAAATGAAAGTAAACATGACGTTCAAATCCACTGAGCCACTGTTCTGACTTTGGAAAAGTGACTTGGTCCTTGAAATCCGTAAAATGAGGTGTTTATTACCTCACAGGTTGTGCGGTTAATTAAATCAGCAACGGAGCCGTCCCTCGCTCAGTCCGCAGCACAAAGTAAGCGCTTCAAGTTCTCCCTGGTGGGGCAGGTGCCCCTCTGAGGACGGGCATGTCTGGGCAGCGCAGTGGTCTTTCTGAGGAGTGGATTCAGGGATGCCTGGAGATCGTGTTTGCCCTTACCATGCACTCAGCAGCCCTCGCTTGGTGGAGACACATCTTTTTCCTTAAATTTTGGGTGCGGAATGGAATGAATTATATTTCATTAGTATGCGGGTTCACTGTCTAACAGTGGAGGGCTCCCTAGTTTAACTTTACTCCTTCATCCTGTCTAACATTCTCGTCACACAAGTACCCACCTTCTTGTGTTTGACATCTTTGAATCTATATCCTGAGAAAATGATATAGTGCTTGGCATGGGGTGTGTTTTTAATCTATACTTAACGTCCGGGACATTGTGCTCTATTTCTTGCCAGTTTTGTTTTTCTTTCAGTAGTTTTTCACTCGACTTGGTAAGCCTAATTCATCTTCTGACTGCTGGGAGGTGTCCATACTGTGTTCTCTACACAGAACTTCCCTCCCGCTGCAGCTGACCCCTCCTTCTCTCTAACCCCCAAGTCCCACACCAGCACCACACTGTTTGAGTGTCTTGTTTATATTGGTGCCCATTTAATTTTGAGGCCTTTTTTTTTTTGCGGTACGCGGGCTTCTCACTGCTGTGGTCTCTCCCGTTGCGGACCACAGGCTCCGGATGCGCAGGCTCAGCGGCCATGGCTCACGGGCCCAGCCGCTCCGCGGCATGAGGGATCTTCCCCGACCGGGCATGAATCCGTGTCCCCTGCATCGGCAGGCGGACTCTCAACCACTGCGCCACCAGGGAAGCCTTTTTACCTGTGAGTGGCGATGAGGACAGCGTATTTGCTGACCTGAAAACATTCCATTTATATATTATCTACTTCCAGTCTTCAAGAGACTCGTTCTGAGTTAAGTTTGTGAAGCAATCCACTGTCACTTCTGTCCACATCATAACTTTTAAAAATTCAGTTTATTTGCCTTTCTGGAGTAAAGCTCTACTTGGGAAAGAAGGCAAAGAAAAAAGATTTAAACAACTCCTCTCGTTGAAGAAACAAAACAGCATGAGAAATGAGCTTGTTTTGCCAGGGTGGACTTCTCTGTGGTTCAGGAAAGTAGGGAGATGTCTGATACTGGATTTCCTTGTCATTCTCTCCTTTGATGTGCGTCTATTTTTCATCCTCTGGGTGCACTGCGCCCCACTCTCTGACTTCTGTAGTTGGGATTCCTGGGGCTTCTGGCCTGTTCCCACACAGCAATTTGCTACCAGGTCCTTTCAGGGCTGCATATTCTTAATGTGATGTCATGCCCATCACATTGGAGAAGGGGCAGAACCTGTCAAACTACCAGCTTAGAGCCTAAGGAAAAGCTCCCGTCCTTAACTTCACACTTGATCATTTTTAATTTCACTACTTACAATATATTGTTGACATAGTGCTTTTTTTCTTTCTCCAATTATTTATTCACATTAAAATTTTTTTTTAATTTTACATCTTTATTGGAGTGTAATTGCTATTCACATTTTTAAAATTAAATATTTATCCAAATTAACCCCAAAGTAAATTTTTATTAAACCCAAATGTTTAGTTTAATCCTTATCAGTACTTCCTAACACCTATTATCTGTAAGATAGTTAGGTGTCTAAACTGACAGTAGATACCAAAGTAACCCTATTAAAGTTTCTGAACTAGGGCCAAGTTAGCACTGGCTGCTGTAGCTGGCTGAGTGACTTGTGAGGACTCTTTTCTTCTGGGAGTAATCCCAGGATGGGATGGACCTTGCAAGTTGATTCATCTGTCTTTGGTTGAGACATCAAGACTGGGATCAAAAGCGAGAGAATATAATCTCGTTCGTTCCCTCTCTGTATTTTACCAAAGCCCCAGGGAGCTTTGCTGATTGGTTGCACTACCCATCTGCAGACTAGATGATGACTCGATGTACTCTTTCTGCTTTGTGGACTATGCATTTGTGTTTTACAGACTACAGAGTGCTTTATTGTGCCATTTTTTGTTTCTCCACTGTGAAGTGTAGGTAACATTCCTATTTCACACATGAGAAAATAGATTTAGGGAAGTTCAGTAACCTTTGTAGGGAGACAACAAAAAGAAGCCAGAGATTTCTGATCCAGCGTTCTTAATGTCGCAGCATGTTCATACAGGATTTTCAGCAGCATCTCATCCTAAGGAGCACACTCAGTGGGGCTGTAAACATCTATTCAAGTCCCTTCTATTTGCAGCAGCTGTGAAAGAATCTTGTCCTAAATTGAGAAACACATGGAATTTAATATCTCCTTTAATGTTACATACATGATACATACATAGTTAACATAAATGTTACCACATAAAATATCTTTTCTTGCCTAGAATGTGAATGAATTTGGCCCTTAACCAATTTTGGTCATTTGTGGATTCTTAATTTTAAGTTGCTTTCCTCTGTCTGAGATTTTTCAAAACTCTGTTAAGATTCCATTGGACATGATTAATTTGGAATTCACAATAATTCATCTGTAGGAGACCAGATAATTGCTGTGTTTCCAACTCTGCAAGCGGGCATTTTTGCAGGGGAATTGCTTGTAGTCCCAGAGAAATTTATAAGTGCATTGAAGAATACCTGTCATTTAATTTAGACTCATTTGCAGTTGGCACATTAATTATTAATGCCACTGAAACTGATGGAGATTAGGAAGATTTGATTAGCTTGTTAATGCTGCAAACATTTCAATGTTAGAATAATAATTTATTGATTATTTGTGGGGCTGACTGTTCTTCTGTAGATCTGTTCTTTCTGGGCGCAGAGCTTCCCAGCCAGACTATATTTCCCAGCCTCCCTGGTAGCAAGGTGTGGTTATGTGACTAAATTGGGGCCAATGGATGTGAGCAGAGGTTGGATTCAATCTAAGTACAGATCATCTCCAACTTGGAGACAAGCAGCATTTTTACACTCTGCCTCTTTTTCCTCTGCCCACGTGTAGATGAGGTGTTGCCACTTTCGCCCATGTTGCCACTCTCAGAGGACAGCAGAGTGATTGAGTGAAAGGAACCAGGGTCTCTAAATGGCATCATGGAGTAGAGCTGCCCTGCTGACCCAAGCTGGCTGGGCTATTATGTGAAATAAACTGAAGCCACTGTGTTGTGGAGTTTCTGTAGCCTCGCTTATAATCCAATAGAGTAAAACCCCAGGGTAATGCTAATGTGACCTGTCATAATGCAACAGTGTTTGAGATGCAATTGTCAATTTCTGGTTCATGGCTTTCCTCTTGGTCTTGTTCTCAAACTGAGGTGGGCTAGATCCTTCTCTTTACGCAGGATTGGGGGACAGTTAGGAAAAAAGTGCCTTACGATCATATGGGAATTTCTCAGGTCAGTATGTTCACTATGTCTCTTTTTTTATTCTTTCAGAGACAGTCAGAGACAGTAGAAACTGAAAATGAATATTTGTTATTAACCTTGTATGGCAACTTTGCAACATGCTGCTAATTCTTTGACCCTGTTCCCATGGAGAGGCAGGGTCTATCTCCCCTTCCTTTGATGCTGGCCTGGCCTTATTTGACTTGCTCATAACAATAAAATGCAGCAGTAGTGATGCTGCGGATTCCACAGACAGTCACATAATGCAATTCAGCTCCATCTTGCTTCCTTGGCCCCTGACCATGTAAGAAGTCTGACTCCCTCAAGGAGGTCAGGCTGTACAAAAGCCCAGGTAGGTGCTCTGGTGGACGGTCCCAGTTGAGGTTCCAGTCAGTGGCCAGCACCAACTGCCAGCATCGGAGGTCACCATCTTGCACGCCCAGCCCAGTCGAATCTTCAGATGACGGCAGCTTCCACTGACATCTGACCACAACCATGCGACAGATCCTAACCAAAAACTGCCCAAATGAGATTTCCCCAAATCCCTGGCCCACGGAGGCCGTGAACATAATAAAACAACTGTACACCACTGGGTTTACACAAGCAGTGGCGACTAGTACACTTTACCATTATACCATCACCTGTTTTGCACAGTTGGCATTTCGGTTTCCACTTGCCAACTTCTGGTGCAGTTTTCCTGTCGATATGACTTCAAGGGCAAGGACTTTACATACATTACTTATGTTACTT